TCCTATAACTAAAAATGATATAAAAACACTTCACAAGATCAGTTCTCAAATTTAGAACAAAAATTAACACTTGATTGATAATAGATGTATTTTAGCATCAGAAGAAAACTATTATTAGTAGTAGTCTGTGGTAAAAAGAAAACATTTTATTTGATTTATATGATTACAGCTGATTTATTTCTGTTTCTTTGGCACAGCATATATGCATAACTATTGATTGTGATCTTGTTATATGGTGTATGGTATCATATTCTGTTGTTTTTTTTTATAAATATCAACAATTGAGTAAACAGGATATCTATCGTATGAAGAATAAAACTCATGGAGTGTTAATAGTTATTAATATACATATTGGGCACTGGCTTCATACAATAAAACTGTGATTGGACTGATCTACATGCATTGTGGCAAATATGTATATTTTATTGAAGCAATCTATGATCAGGTCTTAAAGGCCATTGTTGGATTACACATAAACATATGGCAATGATAAATTTTCTTTCTGCTCTCTGGCGTCAATAAATAGTTAGCAAGGCATCCAGCAAGCCAGGTATGGGAAGGTTTTATAGATGATATTTGATTGTATTGGAATAAACTACATGTCAAGAACCATGTCTTATTATCATCTTTATAAAGAAGTCTTGTGTTAGCAGTTGGATCTTTATCATTAGATATAGCAATCACTTTTTAAGTTGTTGAAAGCTGATGATAAAGTAGAGTAGTACTTAGAAAAAGGACTCTAGGCTAACTCTACAGTTTCTGCAATCAGTGCTATTCAAACTTGTTTCATTAGCTTTAAACAGAAAGGTGGATATATGGAATCGGGCATTAGGATTTAATTTAAAAATCAAGGTAAGAATTAATAAAGAATAATAAAGAATATTTGATAAGTGAGGTCAGTGTCATGTTGCCTTGAAAAACAAATAAATGTTAACAGATCAAAATTAATATCTTATGTTCTGTTTCACATTTTTCCAGGAATAAATGTCACTTTAAACAAATAAAAACTTTTTATTTTATGATCAGTAGTGGAATACCGCGTTTTATCAGTGAAATAAAAGTGTTATTCCACTGGCTAAAGTAGTCCATGTTGTTTTTACCTAAAATGATTGTAAAATCATAAAATAAATAGAACATTTGTCGTTTTGTCGTGAATAACATATTTTATTTCATCTCGAAGCAAGAAAACGTTTATATTTTCACTCATGCTACGCTAAAACGACAAATATCCTCTATATATTTGGTTATGATCATGTTCAAAGACAATTTCTTAAGAGGAAAAGCCAGTATAAAAATATTTCTAAATGTCCAGAATATAGACCTATTATGTACACCTGAGTATAAAAATTCTTCATAGAAAATGGAAAGGCTTGTGCAAAAAAGATAGAATGAATATTACTATATTTTTTCAAGTCGGTGTGAAATATTATAAAGCACATATAAGCTTTAAATGTCTATTACTTGTTTGAACTGATGATTTGAATATTTTTTGGCTTCTATAACTCAATATTTAACTTTTATTCCGGCATCATGGGGCTGACTTCTTTGTACAACTTTCCACACAATTTCATTTTATCAGTGTAACCTAATAGAACTTGTCCTCATCTGCAATTGTTTCACAAATTTTAATAATAGAGTTAATTTGCCGTCGGCATTTTCATTCTGATTTTCAAGATGGGATTATATTATACCATTGTATTAAGTGAGATTTTTTATATTGAATCTGCTAATGTCTTGCCTGCAGCTTATTAATATCAATGTTCTCTATTAAAACTAAATTTGACTGACCTAAATTATATATTTATTGAAATTTGTGAAGTAACGGAAATCCTGTACTACATGGTAGAATGATTAAAGGAAGTTTGATTTGACTTTAAATCAACATCAGGACTTTTAAAGAGACATTTTTATGATGTTATTTCCATGTATCTCCAGGTGAACTTATTAGGCTTTCTTCATTTTTTATCATTTTATATATCAGAAATTTATTCATAACTTAACTTCTAAATAATGTCTTTTTAAAGTGCCTTAAACATACATTATGCAAGAGCTAAATCTGCCTTTTGCAGGTCTTTCTTTAGGCCTGAAATATTTTCTTAATTATTAATTAGACATTAATTAACTTATCCTGGCTATAATCAAACCTCAATGGCATCGGATTTCTCCGATATTAAATAGATTAGAACAGTTAAGCCATATTTTGATTTAAGCTAAAAATGGAGGAGCAAAATTATTGCACACGTCTTGTTAAACCTTCCAAGGCTAATATCTTCGCTCGCAATAGAGTAATTATTCATTTTACATTATCTATTTTTGAACTATTATAGCAAGAATGGATAGCTCTTTATCTAAATGTTACATAATGTATCTTTAAGTAGATGCTTAATGAAATGAAAGGAAAGAAAATCAGATTGACTGAAGTATCTTGAAGAATCTCTCTATTCAAAACTTTCATTCGCAATTATTTTATTTTAGTGGCTCGGAATGTTTTGTCTGTGGTATATGCTAGGTGCGACATAAAGTATTTTTTAACCAAATCCAAAAGAAATTATTGTCCATATAAATTTAAGACACTAAGGTCGAACGAGAATGTTAGACTAGAGGGAACCTAATTATTAAAGAGTAGGCATGTATCTGGAAAGTTTCATTTAATGTGGGTGAATAATTCATGAAATATTTTCTGTATAGTTTAAAACATCTGATAATAAATTATAATATATATGATAAGTAGAAGCATATGTGTATGACCCAATTTTGCATAATCGATGATTCAATATTTCACTTGCAAAGGTGATATAACTGATGTTAGCTTGAAAATTGTTTTTTTTTAGACCCAAATGTTACCTTTGTGAATTGATAGATGACTCACAATTAAATAAACTAACTGGGAAAGCAATTACTGAAACAAAGATGGCAATGAAAAAAGAAGGTACATGTATCTTCAAAAAATTAATATTGTTTTAGTGGGGTTTTCAATATTGGTACTTCATGTGCTTGTGTAGAGAAATGTACGTGTACGAATCCAAGTATTGATTTTAATGATAATAATAAGCTAGTTTTCTTTTCAACTGAAATCGTTTTGGTAGTAATTTCTAAATGTACTTAAAGGTTAATTAATCAATATATTTGAGGTAATTCTTTTCAATTTGCTATTTTCTAAACTATGTTCTGATATTCTACTTTAAATATATCATTTGACTATGACTTTTACAGTAGCCCAGAACAAACCAATATTGTTATTCAGGATCTGGATAAATAGCCCAAACTGAACTACGTTATATTAATTTATTTTTAATAGCCTCAGTGAATCAAATAGGTTAATACATTGTGGAAGACACCTTTATTGTATTGCTGGATAATTTTTGGAATTTTCAGCAAAACAAAAACTTTGGTCTCCATGTGAGTTTGGCAATAAGTTCTCAAATTTGACACTGTCTTACCTGGATAACCATGTCTACATACTTGTCATAGTGGTAACTGAACAATGGAATTCCTTATATAATTTAAGTAGGGGATCACGGTGGCTCGCTAGCCTGGAGGTCGGGTGTTCGATCCCTGCATTGGCCGAGAAAGTTATCCAGATTTTCCGGCGTGGTTTCCCCTTGTCAGTGATGCAGGACGGAGGGCCTGACAAGGACAGCTGTCTAGTCATTCGGATGAGACGAAAAACCGAGGTCCCGTGTACACATTGGCGTGCACATAAAAGATCCCTTGGTAGTTGGAATTCGATATAAGAGTAGGCCTAGTGCCGCTGTCCGGGCAAAATTTCCCTCATAGCACACTGTATGGCGTATGCCCGTCTTCATTAGCCCAGTTCGAAGCAAAACAGTAGGACGTTAAACCCCATTTCATTTCATTTATATAATTTAAGTAACACAATTAAGGAAATATCTAATTTGTATATACAAACCCACTTTGTTATCAACAGGTACATGTATCACAAGGAATCTAGAACTTCCCCTTTAAAATATGGAGCTAAGAGCTTTTGAGAAGAGTAACCAGTAGTAATTGATTTTAGATATTTTTTCCCAAAAACATAAGATCAAAATTATATTAGTTCTAGATGTTTCCATTGAATTAAAATTCAAATTGGTGTGGCCTTATAAACCAAGAGTTTCTCATTTGGCCCCCCTCGTCTACGATATCACCCTTGGTGGAAATGGTTGTAAAACCAGGAACTAACGAATGAACATTTGGTCCATATATAGAGAATCTTCTATGAGTCTTTTTTGATATTAAAAAATACAGATGTATGTAGTTGGATTATTTGCAAAATACATGCGGATATTTTAATATAACTTTGAAGTATTATATTTTGAATTGTCAGTACAGCAATTGTACCACAGGGATTTATGATATATTGAAATGTTCCTTATGTCTGTTCATTCTATATAGGCATCTGGAAGTTTGCCCCATGCTAACTCACTAATGGGATTTAGAAGAACCGTCTGAAATAAGTAATGTCTACCAAATGAATCCATCTGTTTCCTTTAATAATATGTCTGCTTTATTACAAAATAGAATTAAGTTCTTATGTGTTATTTTTTTTTATTATATTGGAATCACAATAGATCTTGGAGTCTTGCAAGAAAAACCAATGTTCTGTAGCTATCTCAGATCTGTCCTTACTGTACAAAAAATATTTTAAAGTCACCAGATCCAAAGAACTTGGTTCGTTTCGATATTGGCATGTATTGGAATGTAAATTCATGGATTATGTCCCCAAATTGTACGAAAATTTAAGTTTTTAGCTTGTCATTCGACAAAATAGTGTAAAAGTATCTAATACCAAGGTTGTGGATCCTCTAGAGGTCAGAATTTTTATTGGATTTTGATGGAACTTAAAAAATATTTTTATATCCCAAAGATCTCAGTTCTCTGTCCATCTCTTAAAAAATATGGACGTATCTTGCATGACAACTGCTTGTTATGGTCTAAAATGTCCTAAATAAAGAGTTGGTAAAATCTTAATCCATTCTATATTTCTTGTTTATTTCCAGTTCCGATGTAGTTATAGAAGAGTCTAACATCTGATTGCCAACACCTTTTAAAAAGTAGGTTCTTATTACTTATGTTTGAAGACTTGATACTGTCAACAATCTGAGATATTTGATAAATGCTCATAAAGAGTTAATTAGACATCTTTATTTACTAATAATGTATTTATATGTAAAGTTTTTGAGTGATCTATTGGTAGTTTGTGTGGAGTGGACCTTCAACCCTGTTCCTCTGTCTTATTGTTTATAAGTAACCCAGCAACAAATTTTGATTTGCCAAAACATATAAATGTGGCTCACTAATAGCATAAATAAGTGGTGGTCATGACAATTAAGAGACCACTTTAAGTTATCTCTTTGGGATCTTGCTTTATATCAAGGGATACAGGAGTTCATGAAGTTGCCTGATCAGAAAAGTGCTGGATGGTAACAGGTTTGAATCTTGGACTTTGTTCATGTTGATATTACTATGACCAGGTAGTATTTAATACAGCCATTCACCCAATACAGGGCTAGACTTACACCACAACGTGGCTCCCAAGATGGATTATCTAGAGTAAGTTATCAATGGTCAGCTATGATAGAGATTAGAGACAATAGTAGTAATGAGATAATCCATCTATAAACATTAGGCAACTTAGTAAATGAATGAATGGATGTCACTTAAATACTACCCATTAACAACTATAAATATATCATCCGGGGTTTATGGACCTGCTTATGGTCCAACCTTCGACGATGGGTTGTATGTTCAATCTATTGGGGGTGTACGATTGAACATACAATAATTCAATAACTCACTTCTCTTAGTATAATCTTATATTCTGTAACAATATTTAACAATAATAACATATATATATAATACTGAACCACAGGCTAAGTAACTTAATAAGGAACAGCATCTAAGAAATAACTTATCAGAGACCTGCCCTTCAGTATGTCCCTTGCCTGTCTGTGGGGTTCTACCTATGATCTACAATCTTTCCTCTAATATACTAGAGGTTACTTGGTAACAATAAACAATACATAGTAATTATATATATTTAAACTTAATAATATTTTATAGTTGTTAATGGGTAGTATTTAAGTGACATCCATTCATTCATTTACTAAGTTGCCTAATGTTTATAGATGGATTAAATACTACCTGGTCATATATGGACGCCATGACCAGGTAGTATTTAATACAGCCATTCACCCAATACAGGGCTAGACTTACACCACAACGTGGCTCCCAAGATGGATTATCTAGAGTAAGTTATCAATGGTCAGCTATGATAGAGATTAGAGACAATAGTAGTAATGAGATAATCCATCTATAAACATTAGGCAACTTAGTAAATGAATGAATGGATGTCACTTAAATACTACCCATTAACAACTATAAATATATCATCCGGGGTTTATGGACCTGCTTATGGTCCAACCTTCGACGATGGGTTGTATGTTCAATCTATTGGGGGTGTACGATTGAACATACAATAATTCAATAACTCACTTCTCTTAGTATAATCTTATATTCTGTAACAATATTTAACAATAATAACATATATATATAATACTGAACCACAGGCTAAGTAACTTAATAAGGAACAGCATCTAAGAAATAACTTATCAGAGACCTGCCCTTCAGTATGTCCCTTGCCTGCCTGTGGGGTTCTACCTATGATCTACAATCTTTCCTCTAATATACTAGAGGTTACTTGGTAACAATAAACAATACATAGTAATTATATATATTTAAACTTAATAATATTTTATAGTTGTTAATGGGTAGTATTTAAGTGACATCCATTCATTCATTTACTAAGTTGCCTAATGTTTATAGATGGATTAAATACTACCTGGTCATATATGGACGCCATGACCAGGTAGTATTTAATACAGACATTCACCCAATACAGGGCTAGACTTACACCACAACGTGGCTCCCAAGATGAATTATCTATAGTAAGTTATCAATGGTCAGCTATGATAGAGATTAGAGACAATAGTAGTAATGAGATAATCCATCTATAAACATTAGGCAACTTAGTAAATGAATGAATGGATGTCACTTAAATACTACCCATTAACAACTATAAAATATTATTAAGTTTAAATATATATAATTACTATGTATTGTTTATTGTTACCAAGTAACCTCTAGTATATTAGAGGAAAGATTGTAGATCATAGGTAGAACCCCACAGGCAGGCAAGGGACAGACTGAAGGGCAGGTCTCTGATAAGTTATTTCTTAGATGCTGTTCCTTATTAAGTTACTAAGCCTGTGGGTCAGTATTATATATATATGTTATTATTGTTAAATATTGTTACAGAATATAAGATTATACTAAGAGAAGTGAGTTATTGAATTATTGTATGTTCAATCGTACACCCCCAATAGATTGAACATACAACCCATCGTCAAAGGTTGGACCATAAGCAGGTCCATAAACCCCGGATGATATTACCCGAACCTGGTAATGGGTTTGAATCTTGTACAGTGTTCATATTAATATTTCCCAAACCAAATAGATTTGGATCAACAGGATTAGAATGTGTGTCACATGAATATTTGCACAAGAATGTACTGTATACATTTCCTTTTCGAGTCGGCGATATCTCTTGAGAAGCAGCATGCCCTTTTCATTTCAAGAATCATTGTGTTCACATCAGGTTTCTTTGCAAACCAGAAAAAAATTACCTTAAATATAAGTGTTCACATACAACAAGTGTATTGTTATCCAAATTTATTTTTTATCTATGAAACATCATAGTTAGGATATATAGTTAAAAATGCTTCTCAGGACAGATTGCACACTAAAACATTATAGTGCTATAAATATAAAGTATCATAATTTTTGGAGCCAAATTTAACCGCGTCAAAAGTAATTTAAAGTTATTAATAACAAATGTCATTTATCTCAAGTAGGTAGCTATCCTTAAACTTCTTGTCAATACAAATAGGCAGTAGAATTAGTTAAAATTTAATGTTTTGAATATAAATATGTTATACTTTATATCCGCTGTAACAACTGAATTTTTAAAAGCAAAAAGTATAAAGTGGGCTTATAAATAGCAATTTATGTATGATGGAAATATGCACAATTCCTTTATAGAATTTAAGAGTGTGGGAAATGCACTTGTCTGCCTATTTCTCCCCACCCTTCCTCCTCCTCCTCCTTCTATCTAACTAAACTTTTCCATCTACCTGTTGCCCTCACTGCTATAGTCTTAAGATATATTGAGTTGATCCACTTATTTCTATATGTCAGCTACGAGTACTAGAATCAATTTTTAATGGAATCTTTAAGTATAACGCTGTTCAAACATCACACTAAATTAGAGATTGTGTTTATGAAGTCATAGGTGGAAACCGAACCTGCAGTTGTCAATTGCCGAGGGCAAAAACTCGACTATGCAAACAAAATAAACAAATCTGATCACATTACGCTAAATTTCACTGTTTTCCAGCTTTGGAAAGAGGCTACCTAGAATTTTTCTAAAAGGTAATCACAGTAGCTGTCATCACTTTCTAGCATTAAAGGCCTGGGACAATACAGTGCAATGTCAATGTTTTCTTGATAGATAACTATAAAACTCTGTTACATATTGACTAATTGATCTAAGACGTCATATTGTCTTACTGATAACAAAACTATGGTAACATTACATTTCTATAGAATAATCTAGACATTTATACTAAATCTATGATTAATGATCTATAACATTATTGATCATATCAATATTATTGGTCTTTTGTTATAAAAGGTGAAATCCCAGATATACTTCAATGAATAAAAGTGTTTAATTCTGTATGTGGAAGGCTCTTAAAACCCTTGATGCTTGTAACAAGCTACAAATGTCCAGTAATCATGTAGAGTCAAAGACAATCTTCTTGACCAACACCCACCGGTCTAAAACTCAAGCTTGTGCGGTGTGAGAACATTAAAATTTACGGATTGCAGACCATTTATTTGTTTTAATTTCTTCTTAGAAAAATTGTTATCAGGTCACTCAATGAAAAGTTCAAGGCCATCATTCTAGAAGAGTTATGTAACTTTTATAAACTGCAGTAAATCACGTTATACTAACCAATATTTTAATATTTTCTGGACTGAGGATCATATTTGTCTTTGTTAGGACTTTTCAATTCAAAGTTTATTAAATCGTGTAGCAAATATTTGCAAATAAGTTGCCTGCTTTCTAGTAGTCTAATCAGATTACACTTCAAATGGCTTTTACACACAGCTCTATTAATTGAGGCTTTTGTTAACAATGGGTATTAGATAGGATTACCATATGTCTCATGTTAATCTTAAGACTTATAAATTGGGTTGTACTAAACAGAGCAAATCCTGATCACTAAGCTTATTGATTAGTTGTTGATGAATTTTTTAAAACCTCTTGTAGCTATATTTAGATATTCAATAAAGTATAGTGGTGAACTGTGTATGTATAAGGATGTCTGAAAACATGTATTGAGGATTACAAGTCTGTGAATATCAAAACAGAATCTTCTTCTTTCTACTGCCAAATAGACAGATTTTCTCCACTGCATTACTACATAAAAAGCACACTTTTTTTTATACGCCCACATGTGGATTTTAAATTCATACACAGTGTTAACGATCATGAGACGCAGAAGTCTATTGATTTTCAACAATTTCCCATAATTACTGCAAGTTATGGCCCTTGATCACTTTGAAACATCTTGTGGACTTTCTAGAAGCTAAAGTTAATATCCTATAGACTAAACAGGGATTTGGATGGCTGATCGGTTAGCATGTGCGCGCTGTATCATAAAGTCTGTCATTGAGTCAACTGGCGTGGTTTCGAATCCCCGGTTGTACGTGACAAGGAGTAGGGTCGCCTGTCCGGTTTCCTCCCACTGCTAAAGACCTCTACGCGCAAGCAACTTATGGAAATAAAATTGAACCATATGTTAGTCCAGAAATGTCCTAGTTTGTGTCGATTGGACGTTAAATCCCATTTCTCTCTCTCGCTGTCTCCCTACAGACTATACACAGTGTTTACGGTCATGAGGCAAAGATGCATTTTGCTTTTCAACAATTTCCCGATAATTACTGCCAGAGTTATACCCCTTGATCACTTGCAAAATTTTGTGGACGTGATATAGGCTAAAGTTATATAAATTTATACACAGTGTTTAAGGTCCTGAGACAAACAATCGTAACAGATTCTAATGATTTCTGATAATTACTTAATTGGTTGTTACTCGTAATAAGATTTTAGTGTGTTGTAAATGTTTCCATTACTGACAAATGAAAAAATATGCGACAACCCTTGTTGACTCAGACCTAATAGCTGAAACACTACATAATGTCTCTATCCTAGCTTTGAACCAGAGGCTGAGAGTACGTTCTAAGAACCCTGCATGATGTCGGTATCCTTGGCCTCTAAGCCGATGAGGCTGTGGGCATGGTCTTCCACTGAACTCTGAATGATGTCTAAAAGGAAATTTAACCACACTCGTTCTAATATAAAGAGGTTACATGCATGAGTCATTTATTGGACTCCAGTAAAGTGGCGAGGTACACCTTTATCTGATTGTTCAGCTGCACAGAAGCTACCCTGAATTTCAACACAGTGCACTTATATGGGCACACAGGAGGGCGGCTATCAACGTTTCCAACGCATGGGGTTGCCAATCATATTTGGATTATCAGACTACAATGTCATTTCCCGATTTTTATCTACCAGACATATCCTTGTTAGCCTAGTTTTTGTTGCCACCAGTACTAGCTAATGACTTCAATACATAACCAGAGCATTTTTTAAGAGAACTTAAATATCAGATAAACTCTACAGTACATGTATATAGGCCCTATAGTATTACAGTTGTATGTGACAAGGAGTAGGGTTGCCTTCCAACCCTGTGGGTTTTCTCCGGGTCCTCCAGTTTCCACCAACTACTAAAGACCCCTATGTGCAATTGAACTATTGGGGAAAAAAAATGAAACCATATGTTAATCCCAAAATGTCAAGAGAAAAGCTCTGTGTTTCAGAAGAAACAATTTTACATGTATCTGGAATTTTTCTAATGCAATTTTGGAATTCGAATATCTAAATTAACCAATATTTACACAAACTCTTTTTGTTTACAGGAATTTAATGCAAATAAAATTAGGACCACCATCAAAAGACTGTTTGCAAACAAAATGAAAGTATAGAGTGAAAATACTGATATGCCAAATCTCAGAAAAACTGAAATGTAATATATCGAAATTAGACCTATTTGTTTCTGCTTTCATGAGTCTTTATTAATTTAAATATATCTAGTACTAGTCCTTTAAGTAACACACCATAGTTACATTATTTTAAAGAAATTTCACTGTTGTGGGTGGGGAGTGAATATAAATTCAATTTTGAGAAAAACAAATTGTCTGTTTTGTAGCTACATGGTTTTATTTTACTCGGATTTGATGAATCGTGAAATATATTGAGAAGGAGGAAAGACAAGAGCTATGCTCTACACCCACAATTTGTTGGAGTGATTAGAGTGAAAATGTATCAATTTGATGTTCAAATGTAGGATTAGACCATAAAATATATAATGCCAGCGCCCTGTCTGTCCATAATTTGTTTGTTTGTGGACACGCTACAGATCACAATTTTTATTCGATTTTAACAAAACTTGAAATATAGGTCTATCTCCCAACTTGGTTCCTTATGTAACGGACCATAACTTCATGGATTATGGCATCTGATTGTTCATGTTTTTAGAGGTCACAATTTCCTTCTGATTTTGATGAAACTTGACATGCATGTTTATAACCCAAAGATCTTGGTTCCATTTCGATATTCGCTCATATCGGATTGTAACTTCCTGAGTTATGGCCCTTGATAGTATGAAAAATCAGATTTTTAGATTGTAGTTCCTCTCTAGAGGTCACAATTTTTATCTGATTTAAAAAAAAACGTTTGAATATATCACCATTACACCCTAATGACGTTTGAGTTTGACTTTCGTGAAAATCGGACCAAAACTGACAGACAAAAAGGCCAACCCTCGCACGCAATTAGTGTAAAACTATGAAATATCAAAGTTGTGGACTATGTAGAGGTCACAATTTTGATCCGATTTTGATGAAACTTTAAATTTGTGTTTAAATCACAAAGACCTAGGTTCTTTTCGATAATTGCACATATCCGTACGTAACTTCCTGGATTATGGCCCCTGATTGTTCGAAAAATCACGTTTTTAGTTTGTAGACTCGCTAGAAGTCACAATTTGTATTCAATTTAAAAAAACGTTTAAATATATCACCGTTACACATCAATGAAAGTTGTGTTTGAATTTCGTAAAAAATCTGACCGAAACTGCTGGACAAAATGACCGCTCCTTGTATGTAGATAGTGTAAATGTATGTAATACCAAGGTTGTGGACATTCTAGAAGTCACAATTTTTATCCGATTTTGATGAAACTTAAATATTTGCGCAGATCAGACCGTAACTTCCTGTATTATGGCCCCTGATTGTATGAAAAACCATATTTTTGGCTTGTGGACCCTCTAGAGGTCACAATATTTATCCGATTTTAGAAAACATTTATGTGTATCACCGTTACAACCTAATGATGGTTTTGTTTGAATTTCATGAAAATCGAAACGAAACTGTGACAAATGGACGCTCCTTGTGCGTAAATTGTATACAAGTATGTAATATGAAGGTTGTGGATCCTCTAGAGGTTACAATTTTTGTGCGATTTTGATGAAACTTAAAATATATCCTCATATCCGAAAGATCTCAGTCCCTGTCGATATTGGCACATTTCAGACCATAACTTCTTGGATTATGGCCCCTGATTGTACGCAAAATCTTGGGTTTTTTTTTTAGCTTGTTCTCTACCCATCTCTTGCAAAATGCACATATCTTGCCTGGCAGCCGCTGGTTTCATAAACAATCAAGTCTGTCCGCTTATGATTATTCAAATATTCATACGTATTGGTGGTTTGACTTATCGAGGGTAGTAGAATATAAACCGGATAAACTAATAAACAGTGATTGTGTCCTGTATATTTACATATTTCCTATAATAGTATAGTTCTTTATGAATGATGTACCCAATCCTATACTACCACGTACCACTATAAACAATTGTCACTACCCACATAGGAACCATTTACTACTGATTTATTGTTATTTCAATCACTTGACAATGATAGTAATAAATATAATATCACCTTTATTAATCATTTCCCCAATAAACTAATAGAACTACCGTAATCAGTTGGTAGACTAATAGAACTTAACACTCTCTTGTGTAGTCCATTAAAATTAAGTAGAGCATTTCCCAACAACATTTTTAAGTGGAATACTTTGTTTAGTATTTACTAGGCCTATACTTGTAGTTTTCTAAAATTGGTATTTCTAAAAATAAGTTGCACCAAATGTTTTCTAAAGGGGTGTGTCCATTATTGATTTGTTTACATAGTGCACTAGACGAGAAGAAATGTTTACAGAATTTGAAAGAATGGAAATGTTTCAATATTAGGTCAACCCTTTATTGAGGTTAATTTGAAAGACTTACTTTCCATCATTTCGCATAGGTCATCAGGGTTCATAATATCTTTTTGGTAAAAATTATAAATATTGAACCCTGATTTAGAACCTTTTGCATCCCAAGGGAGTTAATTCTCCATACTGGTTTGGACCACAAGTCGCAAAATCTTGAATATAATAGGCAAATATAATTCTTGAATTGATTACATGCCAACATGCCATACCGGTCTGTCCACACTTACTTCCGTGCACTATACAATTTTAGGCTTTCATCTGTTTCGTTTTCAGGAATAGTCAGTTTTGGGCTTACCGTAGTATTGATCATGAGAATTTTTGCAAACATCTTGTATGTGATTGTTAATAACCGAACATACTTATACTCACTGTTACTTCAATTCCCCTAACTGATGAAAATTGTATTACCATACTCAAAAGAGATAAGTTCTGTTGTCAGATTTTCATCAAATTTTCAGAAATAGTTTGGTGATTTTTAGGGGTTTATGTACAAGATTACTTTTAGAGTGTTATTGCCCAAAAGAGAGAAGACTGACCCATTCTTCCCATCTATATTTTATAAAGTGTCTGGTTTCTAGTGATAGGAAGTCAAGGAATAGACAGTTATTAAACTTTTAAGAATTAAATCTTGCTTATTATTTGTACGCAGTAAATGATTATATCATTTATTTTTTTTATTTTTTTAGTGACAGAGCCAGGTGCTGGATTTGATTCACGAGGCCTTGGCCTACGTGCCCAGAAAAAACTGCTAGGGAAAATGTCTGGAAAGAAAATGGCTAAAGTGTTTATTGATGATACTACTGGCCGAGTACTTGATAATACTCATAGAATTATTAAGGAATTCACTGGAACTAAAAAGGAGTCAGAAAAAACATTAAAGTATTTGATAAAGACAGTTGTAAAAATAGGTATTCTTTATAAAAATGACCAGTTTAACGGAGAGGAATTAAAAATGGTTGAAAATTTTAAGCAGAAATTTCATTCGCTAGCAATGACAGTGGTGAGCTTCCATGAAGTGGATTTTACATACGATCGAAGCTATTTACGCAAGTCCCTAGAAGAATGTAAAGCTATTCTACAATCACTAGTGGCAAGACACTTAACAGAAAAATCTAAAAATCGTATTGATATCGTTTTTGATTTCTTCCAAAACCCAGAACTGTTGGATTCTGTTTTTCAAACTGACAGTCAATATAAAGACATCATGGATTTAATAGTGAAAGATTTGAATAAAATGATGGATGAGGGCAATTTATAACCCATGCAAAATATTATATTATATTTCTATTATTAATATGCAAAAGTGAGCAACCAAATGCATCAACATTGAACTGTTGGAATTGTTGGCTTTATCATATTGTTGGATAGTGCTTCAGATAGTTGTAATATAACCAGGTACTCACTCCATTTTTGGTGAAAAATAACAGACGTAAATATTTTTGGAGGTCGGGTGGTGGTTGTCCTGTAATACACTTATGAATTATCTCTGTGTGTGTAATTAATTTGACTAAAATTCTTCAAATGGTGCCGTGTCTGTACCAATAAATAATAAAAAACGATGACATTTTGATGTGGATGTATATTGTTGTTGCCCCTGTCCGTCCGTCCGGACGTTCGTTCACATTTTGTTTGTGGACATTGTGCAGGTCACAATTATTATCTAATTTTGCCACGGTTTTAGCTTGTGGACACTTTAGATTTTGGTTCCTTTCGCTATTGGTGCATATTGGACTGTAACTTCCTGAATTATGGCCCCTGATTGTACGAAAATTGTGTTTCAAGTTTGTGGAACCTCTAGAGGTCACAACTTTTATCTGATTTTGAAGAAACTTAAACTACCTGTTTATGTGCCAAGATCTATCACCCCTGATTGTACGAACAATTTTTTTTTTTTTTTTTTTTTTTTTTACGCAAGCTTTGTCTCTATCCATCTCTTGCAAAATGTGAGCAAATCTTGCTTTGGCAACCACTTGTTTTAAAGACTAAAAAGAAAAATAATGTACAATTATTGACATATATTACATACCATGACATGATATTCAGCTGAATTCTGTCAGCTGTTTATATATTATCGTATCTATGTATTGAAATGGCAACTGTACAGTAGAATTAAATAATCAAACATAAACAATGCTGTTTAAATAAAGATCAGTGCCAAATAATTATTGATGATGATGTTGTTTTTAGGAGCTAATAAAACACTGAAAATTGGTCTTAATCAACAAATTGATCATTTGTGTTTAAGTGATCTCAAGATAAGGTTGAGATTGGATTTATCCCTATACTATTTCATCTGTTATGTCTATTTATATCTCTGCATTTATTTATTCATTTATAAAGGTCATACTACACAGTGTTCACTCTATGTTAATCAATAATTAAATCTCCAGTAGAAAAATATGTAAATTAAATATATAGTGTTATTGTACATTGTTTAATATTTAATGCTATTATAAGATCTTGTGTGTTATCTCAGAGGTACACATGTTAGTTTTAATAGTTAATATTAAATATAGATTCCCTTATCCCAATCTACAAATCTCCACTCAGTTATAGAGGGGTAGAGTGGGGAATTCTATTGAAAGGAATTTTTATGGAAACTCTACCTATTTTAGTCTAAAAAAAATCTGGATGGTTCTATTTATTGTCCCCCACCTTTCGAAGAAAGTGGACTATTAAAATAGGTCTCTTTGTCTTTCTGTTCTTCTGTCTGTCCATCCGTCCGTCAAACTCTTTGGGACACAATAGCTTTCCTTCAAATTGAGCTAGAATGTTCAAACTTGGTGTAGGTGTTTATTAGGTCAATGCCTTAATGGAGTTCAACGATGAGCATTTTTTGACAGGCTACGCAGAGATGGGCAATTTAATTGGTTGATGCTTTGGGACATGATAACTTTGGTTCTAATGAAGTGAGAGTGATGAAACTTGGTGTATAGTTCATTCTATCAATACCTCGACTAATTAGTTCAACAATGAGCATTTTCTGTTCACGGTAAGGAGAGTGATAAGCAATTTGATTGGTTGAGACTTTGGAGCTCGATAACTTTGATTATAATTGAGTGAGAGTGTTGATACTTTGTGTATAGTTTCATTACATCAATGCCTTGACTTGATCATGAGCATTTTCTCCTTAGGCTAAGTAGAGACTTCAATCTGATTGGTAGAGACTTTGGAGCACAGTAACTCTCCTTCTAATTGAGGTAGAATGTTCAAAGTTGGTGTAGGTGTCTATTAGGTGCCTTGACAAAGTTCAATCATGAGCATTTTCTGCTTAGGCTAAGTAAAGACTTCAATCTGATTGGTAGAGACTTTGAAGTTCGAAGTCAAGCATTTTCTGCTTAGGGTAGGCAGAAATAAGCAATTTGATTGGTTGATGCTTTCGGACACGATAACTTTAGTTCTAGTTAAGTGAGAGTGATGAAACTTGGGTGTATAGTTTCATTACATCAATACTTTGATCAAGTTACATAATGAGCATTTTCTGCCCAGGGTAAGCAGAGCAATAATCAGTTTCATTGGTCGAGACTTTGGAACACAATAATTCTCCTTCGAATCGAGCTAAAATGTTTAAATTTGGTGTAGGTGTTCATTAGGTGAGTGCCCTGATGGAGTTTGAAGGTAAGCAGAGATAAGCAACTTGATTGGTTGACTCTGGGACACGATAACTTTGGTTGTAATTAAGTGAGAGTGATGAAACTTGGTGTAGAGTTGCATCACATCAATACCTTCACTAAGTTTGATAATGAGCATTTTCCACTAAGGCTAAGCAGAGATAAGCAATTTGATTGGTTGAGACTTTGGAACACGATAACTTTGGTTCTAATTGGGTGAGAGTGATGTAACTCTGAGTATAGATTCATTTTATGAATACATTGACTAAGTTCTATGATGAGAATTTTCTGCTTAGACTAAGCAGCGATAAGCAATTTGATTGGTCAAGACTTTGGCACATAACAACTCTGCTTTTAATTGAGGTATGTCCATTTGGCGAATGTTTCGACTGAGTTCAATGATTAATATTTCCCGTTAAAGATAAGCAGAGCTAAGCAATTTCATTGGTCAATGCTTTGGGACAAGATAACATTGATTCTAACTGATGGAGAGTGATGAAACTTAGTGTATAGTTTCACTACCAGGTACTTCAAAACCTAACTGAGTTTGATCGTGAACATTTTATGCTTAGACTAAGCATACATAATCAGTTTGATTACTCAAAATGTGTCATATGTTTTGGGATTTTGGCAGGGGACGTCAGTCTCACTGTTGGCTTGTATTATTGTCCCCCGCCTTTCGAAGAAAGCAGGGGACTATTAAAATAGGTTCATATGTCTGTCTTGTCTGTCTGTCACACTATTTGGGACACAATAATTCTCCTTCAAACTTGGTGTAGGTGTTTATTAGGTCAATGCCTTGATGGAGTTCGGAAATGAGCATTTTCTGCATAGGGTAAGCAGAGATAAGCAATTTGATTGGTTGATGCTTTGGGACACCATAACTTTAGTTCTAATTAAGTCAGAGTGATGAAACTTGGTGTATACTTTCATTACATCAATACCTTGACTAAGTTCAATAATGAGCATTTTCTGCTCAGGGTAAGCAGAGCGATAAGCAATTTGATTGGCTGAGACTTTGGAACACAATAACTCTCCTTCTAATTGAGCTAAAATGTTCAAACTTGGTGTAGGTGTTTATTAGGCCAATGCCTTGATGGATTGTGAAGATGAGCATTTTCTGCTGAGGGTAAGTAGAGATAAGCAATTTAATTGGTTGATGCTTTGGGACATGATAACTTTAGTTCCAATTAAGCGAGAGTGATGAAACTTGGTGTATAGTTTCATTACATCAATATCTTGATTAAGTTCGATATTGAGCATTTTCTGCTCAGGGTAAGCAGAGCGATAAGCAATTTGATTGGCTGAGATTTTGGAACACAATAACTCTCCTTCTAATTGAGCTAGAATGTTCAAACTTGGTGTAGGTTTTTATGAGGTCAATGCCTTGATATAAAGTGCGAAGATGAGCATTTTCTGCTTATGGTAAGTAGAGATAAGCAATTTGATTTGTTGATGCTTTGGGACACGATAACTTTAGTTCTAATTAAGTGAGAGTGATGAAACTTGCTGTATAGTTTCATTACATCAATACCTTGACTAAGTTCGATGATGAGAATTGTCTGCTTAGGCTAAGGAGCAATAAGCATTTTGATTGGTCAAGACTTTGGATCATAACAACTCTGCTTCTAATTGAGGTAGAATGTTTAAACTTGATGTAGATGTTCGTCTTGACTGAGTTCAATGATTAACATATTGAGCTAAAGCTAAGCAGAGATAAGCAATTTCTTGGTGGATGCTTTGGGACAAGATAACTTTGATTCTATCTGATAGAGAGTTATGAAACTTAGTGTCTAGTTGATAATCAGTTTGATGGCTCAATACTTTTGAAAAAAATAGATGTGCGATTAATTAATATGTGTCGTCTATTTATTTGGGGATTTCGGCGGGGGACATCAGCCTCACTGTTGGCTTGTTTTCATTGTTATGAGAAGATCAGTTGAAAAATGCAACATGTAATTAATGTTTAAAATTATTAGACCTCTTTGATTTGGGGTGATTGCTGATTTCTCTCCTTTAAGTTTGTTTATTTTGGGAAATCCTGTAGGAAGACATTAATCCCATTATGAAGTTTATGATCTTCATGCATACGCTGACAGAGTTTAATTATCTTACAGAATTAAATCAACTGTAATGATGGAGTCAACAGTGATCAGATTGAAATAACATGAACTTTGAACTCGTTCAATCAAATATGGTACATCATATGGTGACACCCCACATCACTATGATATTATGCAAGTCATATCAGTAGTTGAGAGTTCAGCTGCTTGCCATATGATCTTAAGCTTCCTTCCTGTTATTTTATCATAGGATATACTCTCATTAGTATATATTAAGTATCTTAATAAACTGAATAATCGTCCCTCATCACTGGACTTTAATGCCATCAAATTTAATTAGAACAAAACAGTGTTCAATTGTTATGATTTGAAAATCAGCAATTTGTTTTGTTTTTTTATTTTTGGGGTTTTCCTCTATAGAAAGATAACGTTGCCAATATTATTTCAATGTTCACTGTACAAACTGCATATGTCAGCAGTTCAAAATATGTACTTTGGTTTTACAAATTGCAATTTCCATTGCTCTACAATACCAATGTCACAGTGTTAAAATACAAAATACACTTTTCAATAATACAAATACAGTATAATAGTTATTTTGCACATAATACATTTCTCCGTTCTGGATTTTGCATTATAGACCTTAGCATATTAGAACATACCTTATATGGAATCTACGACAAAGCTCATTTGCATACGGAAAAAAAATCTCTGTACACATTAGCGTGCATGTAAAAGATCCCTTGGCAGTTGGAATTCAATACAAGAGTACTGTAGATCGTATATAGTACTGCTGTCCGGGCAAATTTTCACTCGTAGCACATTGCATGGCATATGCCTGTTTTTATTAGCCCAGTCAGAGCAGAACAGTAGGACTTTAAACCCCATTTTATTTCATAGATTATGATTAACACCCCCTTCTACTGACCTTGACCTTGTAGATTGATCCGTAAATTATTAATTTCCGTCCCAGTCCAGGCTTTTTTCCGTATGCAAATGAGGTTTGTCATAGATCCCATATAAGGTATATGTTCTAATGTGCCAAGTTATATTATGCATTTGTCTATTATGCAGAATGGAGAAGTGTAATGTGCACAATAACTAATATACTGTATTTAGTACTATTGAAAATTGAATTATGTATTTTAACACTGTGACATTAGTCCTGTGGATCAATGGAAATTGCAAATTGTAAAACTAAAATACGTATTTTGAATTGCTGACTATGTATTTTGCAACGTTATCCTTCCATATTCCTCCACTTCATCTTGATGTAAAGTTATTTCTTCTGATTGGTCAACTAGAGATCAATGATTATAACACCGAAATGTTCACTAAATTTTTTGCAAACCTTTGGTGACTGAGACATTGATTGGCTTTCTAATAAATGTTGACGGTATCATTATGCTGCCATAGGCTCAGTATCGGCTTTTCTTAAATTTGTTTAGATGGTAAAGGAGTAAAAATGACATCTATTGGAATATTTGAA